GATGAAGGTAGAGACACGAAGGCCTAGTGTCCAGGCAGGGTACATGCTGAGGAGGACCGTATTTCACGGGGGCTGAGGCCAGCCACAGAATGACAGCCTGCCAAAGACTAAGGACTCCATTGTGAAGGCCTTGGGGCCCCTTTGTAATCCTGTGTTTCCCCTCCCTGTTCACACTGACCGCCCTCACACACCGGTGAGAAGAGTCACTGGCTGCCCAGACACTAACGGGGCTGAGGACAGGCGTGAACTCCAGGGCTGGGGTCTGTCGGAGAGAGGCCATGGGGAGTAGCAACAACCACTGTTTATTAACCACCAGCTTCCAGAAGTGGAGGCCATACCAGACACCTTACGTCATCCGCATAAGAAGGACAGAAATACTATTGTCCCTTTTTTTTCAGATGAGTAAACTGAGTCAGGGAGAAGTTAAGGACAAGCTAGGTCATACACCGTATTAGTTTCCTAGGGCTCCCATAACAAAGTACCACAGACGGAGAGGCTTAAATAACAGAAACGTGTTGTCTCATGGTGTGGAAGCCAGAAGTTCGGGATGAAGGCGTGGCAGGGCTGGTCTCTGCTGAGGGCGGTGAGGGAGCCTCTCCCCTGGCTTCCGGTGGCTGGTGGAAAGCTTTGGTGTTCCTCTGCCTTCATCCTCACACGTTGCTCTCCATGAGTGTGTGCGTGTGTGTGTGTCTAAAGTTCTCCTTTTTATAAGGACACCAGTCATCGGCTTAGGGGCCAACCCACCTCATCGTAACTCATTACATCTACAACGAACCTTTTTCAGAATAAGGTCACATTCTGAGGTAGTAGGGTTAGGACGTCAACATATGAATTTGCGTGTAAGGTGGGGGCACAACTCAGCTCTTACCATCTAATAGTGGAGAGCTTGCAGTCAAACACTGTTTCTGCCACTCGGCTGAACTCTGATGACCTCCTTCTCCCGCCCAATCTGCACTCTACCAGGAGGGCCACATTCAGTGCCGCCAGCGAGAATGCTCCAGCCTGTGCCCATACCCGGCCCGGCCCCTCCCGGGCACCTGCTGCCCCGTGTGCGACGGTGAGTCAGTGGGTGGAGCCTGGAGGGGCTCAGAAAGCTGATTGACAGCCCGGCCTGGGTCTCCCAAGAAGACCAGGACATGGGGCAGTGATGGAACCCCGAGGAGGGTCTAAGGCACTCTCTTCCCAACAGGCTGTTTCCTAAATGGGCGGGAGTACCGCAGTGGGGAGTCGGTGGGCTCCGGGGACGCCTGCTCGCACTGCCGCTGTGCTGTGAGTGTGGCTGCCCAGCCGGGAGGGCCTGGCTTCCGGGCCTGTCTCTCAAATGCTGACCAGGCCCTGTTGTCAGAATGGGAGTGTCCAGTGTGAGCCTCTGCCCTGCCCAGTTGTGCCTTGCAGACACCCAGGCAGGATTCCTGGGCAGTGCTGCCCAGTCTGTGCAGGTGAGTGGGGGTCTTGAGTCACTGGGTGAGGTGTAGGCACTGGCCAGGGTCTCTGGGTGTGTTTGGGGGAGGATTGCTTCCTTCGGACCTACAGGAAGCCCCCTTGAACTAAAGTACAGGAGAAATCTTTTACAATCCTAAGCTCCTGTCTCTACTGATGAGGGATGAGTTCTTACCTTCTCGTGGCAAACTGGGCACTCTGGTGGGGCCCTTGCTCCTGGGAGAGGCTGGCAGGAACCCATGAGGACATGGACGGCTGTCCTCATCAGGGTGGAAGGTGGATGTTAGGGTTGTGTGAGGCTTCCCCATCAGCCTCCAGCCCTGTCCCTCAGTTCCCCTGTCCTGCTCAGGCTGTGAGTACCAGGGACACCAGTATCAGAGCCAGGAGACCTTCAGACTCCAAGAGGGTGGCCGCTGTGTTCGCTGCTCCTGCCAGGTACAGTCTTGCTGTCTCAAGTCCCAGATCTGTCTCCTCCTTGAGGGCCTCTCACCCAGTCTTCATCCTAGGCTGGCGAGGTCTCCTGTGAGGAACAGGACTGCCCAACAGCCCCCTGTACCCTGTCCGATTCTGGCCCCCAGATGTGCTCAGGTGTGTGTGGGGGGGATGGGGTGGGGAGAAATAGCTACAAAGGGGTGCTGCTTCCGAAGGCTGGAGATGGAGAGGTATTCCTTCACAATAAAGGGGGGCATTGCTAAGTCCGTCAACCCTTCCAGAGTATATTCAGAGGATGCCGTGAGGATGGCAAAGCTAGGGTCCTGGGAAGGGTCCTGTGGTCTGGGATGGACAGGGTTAGGTGAAGGTGTCCAGGTCGCCATGGTGACAACCCCCTTCCTGTAGCCTGCGTACTCAATGGAGAGGAGTTTGCTGAGGGGGTCCAGTGGGAGCCTGATGGTCAGCCCTGCACAGCCTGCTCCTGTCGAGATGGGGTGCCCACGTGTGCGGCTGTGCTCTGCTCCCCAGCTCCCTGCCAGCACCCCACCCAGGCCCCTGGTGAGTGCTCCACCCTGATCTAGCTTTCATCTCCTGCTTTGCTCAGCCCACCCTGATCAGCTGGTCTCTGATTGACCTGTCCCACCCAGGTGCCTGCTGCCCCAGGTGTGAGAGCTGCACCTACCATGGCCAAGTTTATGCCAATGGGCAGAACTTCACGGACTCAGACAGCCCTTGCTACATCTGCCACTGCAAGGTACCTCCCCAGGCTCACTGCTGCCCTGCTGCACCCCTCCTGGGGCTCACCCCACTTGTCCTCTCTCCTGTTCTTAGGATGGGACCGTGAGGTGCTCTTTGGTCGACTGTCCACCCACAACCTGTGCCGAGCCCCAGAGTGGCCCTGGCCAGTGCTGCCCGAGGTGCCCAGGTATGTGCTTACTGCACCTGTCTGGCTTGGGGAAGCCTTGGATTGACCCTGCCCTCCCATGGCCAAATGGTCACCTTAGAAAGCAACAGCCTTCCAAGTTGTTTTCAGTCTGACACAGCTTGGGACTCACAAGACACGGCTGGGAGGGAGAGAAGAGACTCGTTTATCCCTCGCGCCACCATGCCACCCTTCTTTCCCATCCTATCTTCCTCTTCCAATACCCCAGCACTCAGACGCAGTCATACGTCTACCTGTATAATGCATGTTCATGCAACAAACATTTGGGTGTGCCAGGAGGGAGACTGGGTGCCTGGATGCAGTGTGCCCAAACCCTGGCCTGCACGGGGAGTGTTCTAGGGTGCGTATCGCAAACACAGGCACGTACATGCGTGAGCTCTTCAGCTTTTCACCCTCAGAGGCACACACATCACCAGTAGGTGAAGGGGGGACTAAATGCACACACACACACACATACATACACACATACACACGCACACGCGCACGCACAGTGTGTGCTCAGAGGACGACCATGTCTGCACCATAGCGCCCCTCTCCTCTCCCTGCATGGGGACGGCGTCCACGGGGCACTTCTGCAGTGGCTCTGAACTCGGAGCAGCTGCCAGCAGCGTCAGCCTTTGCCCCTGCTCATGCCCCACCCCCTGCCCAGACTGCATCCTGGAGAAACAAGTGTTTGTGGATGGCGAGAGTTTCTCCCACCCCCGAGACCCCTGCCAGGAGTGCCGGTGTCAGGAAGGCCAAGCCCGTTGCCAGCCTCGGGCCTGCCCCAGGGCCCCCTGTGCCCACCCGCTGCCTGGGCCCTGCTGCCAGAATAACTGCAATGGTGAGGCCGACAGGATGGGGGAGGGGGGGACAGTCTCCTGGCCCCATCCATGGACATTTAGGGCTTGGGAGGACAGCATGACCTAGAGTAAGTAGGTCCTCTCCCAGGCCTATAGCTGTCCCCTTCCCCAGGCTGTGCCTTCGGTGGG